GCAATTCGACTCAACGCGACGATATTGCGCTCTTGCGTAACGGCCTTTGCGGCTGATTCAGTGTTCGCAGTTGAAGGCAAAAACTAGTGTCGTATTTGCATCTTTGGTAACAATCAGGAGATGGCACCCCAAAAAATCCGCCTAACCAAAGCAGTCTGACTTACGGGACAGGTGGTAATAGGGGTTTTACGGGTGGTGGCTGGTCGGGATGTACGATACTAGCCGACAGAAAGCCTTAGTTGAACAGGTGAATGATCGAATTTGGCCCGCTCTCCGTTCCGTTATTACAAAATGGGTCGCCAAAGGCAGTATATTGGTAACGGACGAGTGGGAGGCGTATTATCGTCTTCCCTCAGAAGGTTATCTACATTTCTCTGTTAATAACTCAAAGAACTTCAAGGACCCTACCACCGGACGGCACATCAATGCCATTGAAGCATACTGGAGTAGACTGAAAAGGAAACTCTACGAGTGAGGCCCTGTATGTGGTCGAGATGTGTGGGCTCCCACAGACAAAGTACAGTATCGTCTTTGGTTTGGCCTCAATGCCATGTCTTTGACAGATGCCTGGGAACTGTTCCTGTACCCTGCCGTGCAGACTTATCCTATTTAAAAATGTTTTTGTTATGTAATAAACTGCCAGAATGCGAATGTATGCCGTATATTCAGGTGTATGTGTGTAACGATGGGGAAGGTTGGGTAACAGAGACCATCGTCCATGTAACCTCCTGTGAGGCTAGTTCAACCAGCCCATGTTAGGCCGTCGCGGAAAGTTAAAGTAGCGCGTTAAAGTAGGCCTGCAACCGCTGATATAGCCTGAAGGCGTTTAAGTTCACTGTCAAAGCTATTACTTCTAGGTAACAGATTTTTTTGGGTGCCATCTCCCGATTGTTACCGTATCTTTATTGAACGTGTTATTTTTTAGGCCACCATAATTTTTGTTGTGGGTGCTGATATCAAGGAGGACCAGCAGGCTGTTATCTTCCTTCTCCATTGTAAATTATATATCTGGCATCGACCCATTCTCAATAAGGCAGCATCAGACCTCATTCGGCGACAAAGGCTTTGCTGATAGAAGCGAACAGGCGAGTTACAGGTAGCAGTTCAGAAGACGAAGATGCAATCACTGGAACAAGAAATTTATTGGCCTAACGTTTCTGATTCTCATTCGAATCCATCATCAGAGACGGTCGCAGATAAAGGTGATGGTGGCACAAGGAGTGCAAGCCATCGCCGCATCAATTACGACCCCAGCGGTGATTGCGAAGGCTGTTAATTACAGTGCGCATACGGTCCCGCGGCATCCACGTGCTATAAATACTGCACTCCCTGTGCCACCATTACCTTTATCTGCGACCGTCTCTGATGATGATTTGGAGTGAGAATCCGAAACGTCAGGCCAATAAATTTCTTGTTTCAGTGGACAGTGCTCATTACAAAAGCGGAAAGAGATTGTACTCGGCCAATAGGGTACCTATTCTGTGCTCAATTTTGTATCGACAGAATCAGATGCGTGCAAATAAAAAGTTTAATGTTTTCATAAAGATTAGAGAGCTAGATGCCGAAGTCTTTGAAAAGGAGAACACTTCGGCCTTTCTGAGCATAACCCAATTGCGCAATGTCGTTCTACGTGGTCTGCGCTGTCTGAAAATAAAAGGTCGGACTTGGTAAGGTTGTTTCAGCAAACCCTTTCTCAATCCCCTCTACTAAGGTAGCATTCACTAACACTGGAAATCGTCGGCTTTCAAGGTAGAGCCGATTTATCCGCCATATTTACAATACTTATGCTAATCAAATAAATTCCGAGCACATCCTTTATGAGAACAACATTTTGCATAAAGGTTAAACTAAATTTTAGAAGCCGCAGCGTCCGATGTACGCCGGGTTAAGTATGTAGCTCCTGTTTATAGCGCAGCATCTGCTTTCGAAACCAGTGGACGCCTATGCTATTCGCCAGTGGCACATATAAAGGTAGTTGCTAGTAATAAAATTGGACTGATTCGTGTTTACTTGTCTGCACTTATGAAAAATTAAGCAGCAATATTAGTGTTTGCCGTTGTAGCAGTAAGCCACCATTGCAGCACAGACTGCCGAAGTGAACGTCTACCGTTAATTTTACACGTAAAGTCCCAGTCGCAGTTAATCATCTGCAAATCTGTAATAATTACGGTATGCGTTTACATTCACCACAGAAGTTTTCTATGCAAACGTTAGGGTATTCGCAAAGCATGACCTTCCCTGCATGTTCTATTTATATGTGCGATGGCCTTTCATTCATACCTGGAAGAGTGTAGTAAGTGAGATTTCGAGGTTTGCACACTAGTTTATTTGTCCCAGTTTTTCATAGTTGAAAAGCGTATGTAGATGGATGGGCGGTGCACACCGAATCATTAATAAGTTTTCTTGTTTTAAGACGTCAGTTTCAATATCGATAATGTCATTCTGAACTGTCAGAGCATAGGTAATAGCATCTGCACTATAAACTAAAGTCTCTATGAGGGGTTGACCGATTTCCTCATCGAAATTGTCAGGAGGGTGGGCTCTAGAGCGCAATTTTGCTCACTGATAGGCTTTGACCCTGGAAGCAGACTGCACATGATAAGACATTTCCATATCTGCCTATGTGTGTGCATATACACCTTTGCTATTATGTCACATGTTTTGTACCCCATTTGTGAAATAAATGCGAATTTACACCAAAAATAACACCTATCTAGTTTTTCAATGGCTTTCTGAATTTTTTCATTTAGTTAACTGACTTTCACGGCGACGGTATGGAGGCACTTGCATTATGGTATTAATTTTTAAGCAGCCAAGTTCACTTGCTTAGAAATTCAATCGTTCTTCCTTGAAATGCAAAGCCAGTGATCTTTAAGGCTCGAAAATCGCTTCACAAACGTTTTATTGTTTTCTGTGGCTTTCAAATCTACAGTTCGTCATATATGGTTCCCCGAGACACTTTCATATGCCAGTAATCAGGAATCCGACAACTATGGGCTCTAACTGAAATGTGATTGGCTTTTCTACAAAGGGCAAAAATATCAAGAGTTTTCAGACTTGCCAACCCTGTTCTTCTGCCGGTATATCATTCAACCGTATTATTTTGGTCCGTTCATTCTGGCCTTCTTAATTAATTTCTATACCGGTTTGCACAAACCTTTCATTTTTCTTAGTAGATTTGATCCGTTATTTGCACATGTCCTGGAACGGAATGATTAAAGTAGGCTAAGAACCATAAATATGGATGCGAAATTGTTGAAGAAAGCAGAGGTATATGTGGGAGTTATAAAATACGGGTAGTAATTAAGTTGTTAGGGTGTTCAGCAGAATACGAGCATTCCTTTCTGTCAGCGAGTTCCATTGTCGTGCAACTTTAATGTCGTCTATGACAGTAGTGAAGGCGTGAAGCTCCATCTCATTGAAGGCACATTGCCCTAACAATCAATTAAACGGAAAATAAATCCATGGATCTCCCTGGTCAACCTTCCCTTGTGTATTATTTCGGTCAGATTTTCCATAAACTAGCAATATCATCACGTTCTTCCAAGTGCATAAAAAGGGGAACACTTGGAGCACTGTCCATTGTCAGCTTGCAGTTGCGTTATTTTACCTATTTTAACAAGGTTTATATTCATATTGATCCAGTTGTGAAAATAGCAGCATTTGGATGGTATTTGAACCCACGACAGCCAGGGGAAGGCTACAGTACTGCCAACGCTCTAGTCACCGGAGTTACGAGACCCCACCGGGAGACATGATTTTTATCACATTTGGGTCAAGTTACCCACGCAACCTACTGCAAGGTCTGGAATCGGCCAAATCTAACAGAGCAAGCAGACTGCCCAAGCAGGATTTCCTAATTAATCCACCTTGAACCCACCCGATAGCTTCCAGGCTCACGGGCCTCGTAGATCAGGTAGCTAGAACGTTGACTGTTCTGAAGCCTTCCCTTTGCCGTCTTGGGTTTGAATCCCACTGAAGCGTCGAGATTTTCACAAATGGGTCAATACGAATTATTCAAAATCTACCAAAACACCTATGAAGGGTTAAAGTGCTAGTCAAGGGCGTGCAGACTGAGCATTTGGAATAAAATCGGAATTCTTACATGCAATGGGGGTGTTTTACTTCTGTCCAAACATTTATTTTTTAAGAATTAGTCAAGACCCAACCCGTTCAATATTGTTGACATATTCTCACCGATTTAACCTTTACGCTATTGTTTAACTTACTGTCACACTCGTGAAGTCCTTAAACAATCCGACCAACTTTTACCAATTAAACATTAGAGTTCCTTTTCTACACATAAAGTACTTAGAATTCTATCCGAAAGTAACATCTACACACATGCCACCTGCAGTTAATTTCTTCGCAAACGGCAAAGAATAGCCTGATGCCCATGCGTTTAGTTGGGTGTTTGTGCAAAATGACGCTTTTTGTTTAAAAAACACGCGAAAGTCTTTAATTCTGCCAGTTTGGCAGTATGCTAATTCATGGACGTAGGATAGTCTCCGACTGAAAAGACCCCTGTGCTTATTTTTGGAAATGATGGAACTGTGTTGCGTGAATATTTCCAGTCCACCTGGGAATTGAAATGTTCCATGGTTCAGTCCTGCCATTTATGGTATGAACGGATAAAGTAGCAAAATCTGTAACCCGTAGGACACTTTAATCTACCGCATTGTGAGCAGCTGTGCAACAATGAAGTCTCACTATAATTGGTGCATCACTTTCATTAATTCTGGGCTCAGTTCTCGCACTCAGCTATGCAAAGTTCTATTAGTACACTATTTTGGTATGCGTTGGCATAATAATCGGATCGGAATATCGGTACATTTACACCATTTTTCAGACAAAACATTTAAAAATACGGGAAATAAGAAATTCAGTAAGCTCCGTGGTTTATTCACAGTGCAAATAAGGTGCTCAGTGGATTATTACACAGGATCCCATCGTATGTTTACACGTGAATCGTGTGAACACGCAGTCATCACAAGGACAGTTCACGAAAACCTAAGCCGGCAGGCTAGACGGCCGTATTTCCACCCAGCCCAGCACTTGTGGAGGCAGTCACTGGTTGGTTGGGAGTACGCGCAGGCCTCATTGCAGCTCCATCGCATCAGTTTCAGAGCCTCGTAGCAGTCATCCAGGGAGGCAGTTGCTGCATCCACCAAGCCCGTAACGTCCAGCATCCTTTCTGCAAAGTATTCGGGCGTAATTTTCGCACTGGCCGCAATAGTTGCATGAAGAAGCAGCATCGTGATGGATATCAGCGCAGTGCTAAATTTTGTAAAACAAAATAACACTTGTTGGTTGGATTTCGGCTTGTCCTCCAAATTTAAATATCGCTAACGTCCTTCGACGGGTCATAATTTAGAAGCGCCACAAAAGACGGGAAGCAGAAGGATGGAGATCAAAAGAAAAAAGTGTGTACGCCTGGGCATTATGTGTGAATGAAATTATTTCATAAACATGAGATAAATCTCTTAAGCTCAAGAACATATGAATTCTCACTATACAGCCGCTGTGATCCACAGGTATATATGGAAGAGGAGGATGAGGCGATCTCTGGGGAAGAAGGTTTATTCATCTGACGTTTCGTGTTCATACTCGAGCACATCTTCGGAGATAGGCTGAGCGAGAAATACAGGGTTTAAATAGGCCATCTGCACTCTCACCCGAAGGTGTGCTCGAGTATGAACACGAAACGTCAGATGAATAAACCTTCTTCCCCAGAGATCGCCTCATCCTCCCCTTCCATATTAACACCTGGGGTCAGCATTTTTGCCTATATCCATAGGTATATATATACATTCGCATAAATACAAGTGAAAATGTCTACTCTAGATACTGAGATGCGCTCGAGTACGCGCGCGAAACTTCAGACGATAATTCCTCTTCCCGAGCTTGTCTTACCCTTGTCCTCCTCCTCCTCCTCCTCCTCATACTTATATGTATGATAAAGGTCTAGCCATACCATGTATACAAATTAAAAGTTTAGCCACATGTCTCGCTGTCGTATGAAGCAACTGAAAGAGGTTAGGGTATTTTGTAGGTCTCTCACCGTCCTCTCTGCGGGTTTCAGATATATGACTTCATGATAAAAAATTAAACTAGCTATTTGGGAATTTTTTAGGTCAAGACTTGAAGTCAAGTATCCGGAATACGACTGACGCGAAAAGTCGTGCCCCTGACACACCGCAATCGAACGAACTGCTGAGGAGGGTAGGTGTTGAGACTGTACACCGGCCCACAGCTACCGTGCTCAACAGCGTCATGAAAATCAGAGATAATTTAACATCCGGTAAGCAGTCACTTGTAGCGTACCGCATCTTGTGTCTAAAATACCCTTGTTATTACACAGGTCAGACTGTGTGCATACTCGGACCGTGCATGCACGAAAATATACGGACTCTGCAAAGGGGTGATGAAGTATCGCAACTGGCTGCCTACAACTTCTAAAGGGGTCACGAGTTTGACTTCGCAGCTACAAAGATACACTTTCATGTCTGAGGGAGGCCTAGCGGAGAACTGATTGATGCTTGAGCCTCGGAGGACAACTCAGCCAATTGGCGCATCAATTTGGCATCAGCACACGGAGTCCTGTACAGCCACCTCCATACCTGCATCTCCGATCGCTGATTTGCTAATACCCCTGTAAGTGACGCCTGTTTTGTTGGTGTTTTTATTCTTGACGATGGACTCCTGCACGAGTTCAAATACTCAGACAAATAAACAAATGGTTTCCATGCTCACTCAGTCTTTTTAAACCTCACTCCCTTGTGCTTGTTTGTGGTCTCCTTTTAAGTATATGTAGGATTGAACGCTCAGCAATCAGGTTATGGACGTGTTTATCTATTGGACTTCGAGGCTCAAGTAAGAACCCTCACAGAAAATTTCATTGCGATTCTTTATGCTATTAGCAATAGTAGGTGGCGGCAATGACGATAGTGCCTATCTTCCTAGTCTTTATTGGCACAAACCTAAGTACACATTTATATATTCAGGCAGAAATTAATGCACAAAAATCTGTTGGCCTCCCGGCTCGACCAAACTTCGTATCGGCAGCAAAGTCCACGAACAGGCAACTGTTTAATAAACTGAAGTCGGCCGCGTTATAATAACACAGGGTAGACTAATATAGTACTCTTTCTGACTTATTCTGCCTGCATTCAGCCAGCCATAACCCCGACCACCAGCTGGAACTAGAAACGCTAACGTAAACCCTTACACAACGCAGATGGTATTTGGAGGGTGTCAAGCAGATGGGTTATAAGCTCTTCATCGAAGTAACGTTCATCAATGCCTCGCCAGCTATCATTCTCCTTCGCTGCTGATTGGAATTTACCAGATTAAGAATGTGCACACACCGATACATTTGTTTTACGAAGGAAACAAGCTCTGTATGGGTGCTAGAGTTTACTAACAGTCAAGAAAGGACCAGTCCGATAAATTTAAGATAACCGGCTATAACAGCCCAGTCCTAATTTAATAAATTTCCGATCTGAAGGTAGAGGATAACAGGTGACGAGGCAATAATGGACTTCAGTTCAGTAAAGTGCTCTTGGTCCATCTACTTCAGCCCCTCCATGGACCACCTGCGTCACGTAAGAGCATATGTTGGTGTTTCTACTTCCGGCTGATAGTCAGGGTTACGATTAGCTGGACTAAGGCAGAATAAGTCAGAAAGCGTACTATATCAATCTACCTGCATTCTTTGTTTTCCCACCCCTCTGCTATTGTATAGACAGAACTTCCCGTGAAGTCTAAGACAGTGAACACATGTGTACAGTGGGGTCATTCGAAAAAAAATTGTGTAAAATACTGCGCAATGCCGTACAGTGTTGTTTGAGAGTCACGACAAAACACGCCTTCCTTGAAAATTACATGTGGCCCTGTTGTTTTAATGACCTGTTCGATGAGCAGTGATCGTTAATGAAGTAGACAGTTTATGACCTCTTCTGAATGTGCACATTCAAGTGCGGATTTGATTGGAAGAGGTTGGGACGTAATTCTAGGTTTTTAGCCTTGTGGTGGCAGTCACACCGTGGATACCGACTATGTCCACCGTGTCCTCCACAGGAGTGTGGGTGTAAGGACTGTGATTTGCACGTGAGCAAATTCGTAACTTCCTAACTTCATAACCTCCCCTGCACTTACTGCACTCTTTCCTCCGCACGCATGCCTGGTCTCGGTGTCAAGACAGATTCAGGACGACGGGACGATTCAGGGGCAGGATCGGACGTAGGTGGCCGGTGGGACGTGCGCCCGCGCTTAGACGCACCATTACATCCCCTGATCTGCGCACAAAGGACCAGGATTCCGCGCAGCAAGGAGGCGGAGCGGCACAGATCCCAACTGAGTGGGAATGCCGATAAGGTCACATAAAGCAGGTGTCATTTGGGTCTGGCTTTCCGTCCCGAGAGGAGGAGCGATGTACTCTGTTAGTTTTGTAGTCTTTCAAGTCAGGGCTTTTAGCGCAATGTGATATATTCAGATGTGTCAGGTTGTTTGTTAGTAAGAAACATTCACCGTGAGATTCCAATCTCACTCCCTCATCTTGCCCAGCCATCAGTATTCTATCCGATTCGGCCAGTTGTCTGGCGCGGAGATTAGGTGAAGTGACTGACAGAGCTGGAGAACCCGGCTGTGCGTGCTACAAACAACTTGGTCACATCAAATGCATCAATATTTTACGCACGATAAAGCAATTCAAATTACTTTTGTGGTTGTTGCATTTGCCAACCTTCTTCTGTAAGTCTATAATTAATACGGCTGAGCTAATGACTTACCCACTCCTTCTCTCGTTCGATATTTATTATAGGTTTCGATAATATGATTTAGGCTAAACGCGTAATAGTTGCATGTTAAAGATCTGTATACCCCAATACCTTCTTTGCACCCGGAAGTAGCAACTAATGCGTCAAGATATGGAAAACTAGACGTTAACAGACTTAGCACCCTTTCACAACAACTGGCACCCGGGTCTTGATCGGTAATCTGCCAGAATGACCACTGCTAGTCACTGATGAGTGCCGTATCACTATATAGTTCAACAGCGAAAGTTTGTGCGTTGTTTCCGATGGTCAATTAAAGTACACTTTCGGTGTCTGAGACCCCAGATAACTTAGCCATAACTTAGCAAGGTTCATTTGTCAGAATGCATGAGCTAGCCACCTATATTCCTCCATTACATGTCACAATATAAATTTGAACATTCAACTGAGTCACATATTCTACTGGGCAAGACACCTAGTAGAAGAATTTAATCCATCAAAAGATGTTGACTTTACTTCGCAGTACACGTCTGCGATCGACCTAGGACGGAGTACTATTGGGATTTATCGCCCGTTTGTATTTTCCAAGGACCCTGAGTACTAAATAGAACGTAAGCGTAAATTTATTTTTAGAATTATTCGAACACAGGTCTGATCTGTATTCCCCGATTTTTGGAAGTGTTCAATTAACGCACACAACAGGCAGCCTGTTACAGCTGTCGGCGTGTTCTGACATCTGGTGAAAAAGGAAACTGGATTTTCATGCGACCTTGGCGCGCACCGACGTATTCTGATTGCAAGATGGAACTGAGGGTCTCCGTTCTACCGTGTCAGCCACCGTAACCGGTACTTACAGAAGACTCGTGTCCGAGAGTTTGGCGTTCTCTCAGGTACTTCCTGAAAACTAACATCATATTGACCCAACTGTGGAAAACTCTGCGCCTCGGTGTGATCCGAACCCCCGACCGTAAGGGGAAGGCTTCTTTAGTACAGCCAACGCTCTAACCACCTCAGCTACGAGGCCCCGCCGGACGACGCGAGTTTAATCACATTTGGATCAAGTTAACTGCCCAACCTACTGCAACGTCTGGAATCCACCAAAACTGATACAGTAAGTTGGCTACTAAAAACATCTATGAATACCTCTAAGTGTATGGAAACAAAATCCAATTGAATTCGCGCATATTAAAGTTGAACATTTGCTAGTTCTTTTTAAACGAAATCTCGTGAACTTGCATGTTTTTAAAAAAAGATGGCAACACTGCCTTCTGACTGGTTACATACATGCTGCTTGTTTGAAAGCCCCTTAGGCGACTGCGGGGACCCTTAGAGTTAAAATAAGCCCCCCTCCTTCATGAACTGATAAAAGTCAGTTTAATGCATACTTCACACTGCATATTTCACACTGGCAGCATATACCAGGAGTTGTCTAGATTTTGTACGTTTTTTCCCTTCCGCATGTTTTCGTTTTCATCTAACTTTAGTGAACTCTGAGTCAGGAAGCGCCCTTATTGGATTGAAAATTCAGGTTATGCGGCCACAGCGCTTAATCTAATTCCCTGTCGGTTTGAATCAACATGTCGCTGGGTTATTGAAAAGTACAAAGAAAGTGATATTTGTCTAACTCGAATTCAATACCTAAGTTCGTCATCAATTACAGGCGAACGCCTTTCTTTACTGTAATGTCACGCCAATGATTTCGACTTAGAACTAATCCAAATAACGAGATAATCAAGTCAAACTTGAGACCGAAATCAGACTGTAATGGCGTCTTTTATTGTGACTTATTTAGGAGTTACTTCCTTGTGAAGACTGAACGCCTCTCGCTGAAGTCCGGTGTGCGTGTGTGTGTGGAAATGGGAATCAGGTCAAACGTGGCACGATTGGACGGGATGTTTATTCCCCTTCTTTACGGTGTACATGTTCTCCGCCAGCCTAACTAAATGTGCCATGCTATCGGAATATGCTTAGCTCAGAATGAGAAGGCAAGGTAAACGCACTGAAGTTCTACCTCAAAATAAACCAATTCACTTGTCGGAAGCATGTGAACCTCTTTGCTTGCGACGACTGAACTATGACACTTTATTACGAATACTTACTTCCGGCAGGTTTTTGCGTGGTTGACTTAAAGGGTGAATGCATGCATTCAGACTGTTTTCTGTGTAGGCATTTGGTACTTATTATGCGTGCACTCATGGAATTAGTCCAGTTTTGTAACAGACGAAGGATGTCCGTTTCACTAAACGTTCGTAGTTCGCGCATAATTTAGAATATCTAAGGCGATAATATTGAACGGTATAAATGTCATTTTGATGGAAATGTTTCTTATTTCATGATTCCCAAATGGTGCTGATTTTATCTTTTAGAACACTGGAAAGTTTAGAGACAATCCTGCATTTTCGTTTTAAAAATTGGTTTTTCATGATAGCAGGACATCCACTTGTTTACTTCTGCGTGTCCTAATGATTAAGTGACGTATGAAGAATGCAAACCAAGCTGGCGAAACACTAACGGCATTTTGGCAGTTTCCGACCGACTCTCGCGCCCATAGCAGCAAACTTTGAAAGCGTAGTATGTAACGCTTGATTACTCCAACTTATGTCCCGCCAGACATATCTACTGGTAGGTGGAATTGCAGTCATGAATATATGCTCATCTTGCTAGTAGCCTCAGTTACTGCAGCTCTTGACTTTGGCATGTTAGTAGTGTAATATGTAAAACTCCCAAGTGCCTTAAATTCAGCAAACAGATCGATTTAAGCCGCTCATATTAGATATCACCAAATGAGCCAATAACAATCTTAACATCTGAGAATTTAGTATTCGTTATTTCTTCTTTCGTTGGGTGGATGACTTATGTCATAATGCACGCAAGGAAACCGAAACAACCTAGGTGTATTAGCAGAGTTTCTGGTTTTGTAAGGAATGGTAGAAAATATCTTAAAAATGACATCCAGAGATAGGTTACTCGTACGCCTTATCGGAAAAAAACACCGGCTACATGAACCGACCGGTAAATTCTCGAATTTTATAGTAACCTTGCAATACATTACTGGAACAAAATAATTTACGTTTTTAAACCTTAATGCTGAAAACTTCATTCTGTTAAGAAACGATGCACGTAGGTATGATGATCTTAGACTGCAAATGCAAACAAAACAATTTTACTGGGAATTAGACGTTTTCTGCAGAAAGTATTAGCAGTAAAATATTAGCCTGATTTGACGGACCTACTTTGTTTAAGTTTGCTACTTATGAGAAGGGGACACGTCATTACCCGATACTGATTCTAAACAGTCTATTAAATATTTCGAACGGCTTTGCAGAATAAGACTGAAATTATTACGATGCATTTTGTTCACGTTCAAAAGTTTTGCATATGTTTTCATAAATTCATGACAGCAAATGCTTAAAGCGACTGCCGACAGAGATAAGGCGACTAGAGGGGCCATTTGTGACTTATAAAACGTCATCAGTCAGTCATGTCGGACCCCAGGTTTGCATTTTCTGAACGCCAGTCATCGTTTAAACATAAAAAAGAGTGGCAATGTAAACAGTGGCCATATTTGGCTTGTTATCCGTTATAGACCTGTCATACCAAATCCGAAGTGTATAACCCTGGTCGTTTTAATCAAGCATTTTCGGCCATTAAGTCTAAGGCTCTACCATTGGGCCATGGATACCTTTTCCTGTCGGTTGTGATGGAGCCTTTGAGCCCAACTTGGACCCTTTCCTTGTCTCGTTTGATTCCCCTTATACCTATATTATTAGTCATTGTGCAATTGTCTGCGACGGTTCAAGTTTAAACACCAAGGCAAATGGAGGTCAAACACGTTCGTAACCTGATTGGCGGTCGTCCCTCTGCACCAATATGTATATGTGTATACATATGTATATTAGCGCAAAATAATGCTATCGCTTCTTTGTATATTTACCGTACACATACATTTAGTGAACATGTCCTATATTTTGAATGCGTCTCGCAGTCCACTAGTGTCTGACGCCTGCATATTAAATGTGCAAGTGATTCGGAAAGGCCTAAGTGTTTGCGCAGTAGTATATTGAAGTGAAAAGACTGTAAGCTGAGAACCTTAAAAGCTCATTTTTAGAGTATACTAACGACTGACATGGGTCAAAACTCCCAGAACATTCAAAATACCGTTCAAGTACTCCGGATTAAATGAAAATCATCTCTTGTCCTAAACCTTAAAGCTCTCATAGATCAATTTTAATTTACCAGTTAAATGCAAAGAGAAACAAAAATGGATGTAAATCTGTAAACTTCAAAGTACGCGGTCTTTGCTTACTGAAATATACCAAATAAAAACTATAAAATAAGAGCGAATTGTTTCATTTCGTCCCATTTACCACCATAAAACTGTCAGTCTATTCTACGCAGTAGCTTTGTGGTCAACGTATGAACACACGGTCTCCTTCGTTTAAGTACCCATTGCACCAATATAATTAGCCAAATTTCTTGCGAATGTGGAATTTCTTCGTCGGGGAATGTGAACTAATAACAAAACTTGTGAGAAAACGGCACAGTTGTATTTACCACAACATATATATGATAAAAGTAGTGCCCCACAAAATATTCTTTTATTTCGCTAAAAGCATCACCTTCGTGGACATTTAACAACGCTCTGGTGTCTACCTTTCCAACAAAATAATGTGTTTGTAAAGAAGCATCTTCAAGATTGTACGACAGTTCTAGACGAATATTTGTTTTAAATATAAAAGGGCAACATAAGTAAGTTTGCAAAGGATCTTACTAAACATGCGTGAATTTGGAGGGCATTTTTAATCTCAACGTATGGAGTCTTAGAACTTCCCCCAATTTTATATGGCTTTTTTGCCATTCGACTGTCATTGGCTGGTTGTTTCTTCATTTCCCAATGGGCAATGAGGAAGGAGTTTCTGATTAACGCAAAAATACTTAACCCAAAATCCAAATAATCTAAGAACTCCCGTCAAGGACTTCATTCTAAAAGTGCAATTTTTAATGCTGATAATGTTTATCACATTTGCGCTTGAGCGTTATAAAAGTTGTTACGAACTATTGGAATTTTCAGTCTATTAAGTTTTATTGTTTGAAAGGATACGATGGTAAACCATAGTCATTTCTGCTAGCTATAGGAAGGACTCATGCAATACTTTGACAGTCTCAACGAAAAGCTGTCGCATTTTTATTCATTTAAAGTAGTCACTGAGTGCGTACATACAAGCTTTCTAGAACAGATTGTGAATTGATCACTGCAAGTTTTATTTTAAATCAAAAAGTATTTATGCCTGTGTCTTGTTTTCCAAACAATGTACAACGTTTAATTTTCAGACTTCTTGAAATAATTACAATTTTTTGTCCAGGTAAAAAATCGATGTTCAAAAGATGAAGATATGCCTCGCATATCCGAATAAAGCTTACTGTAAAACCTATTTCAGAGTGCCCTCAATCGAAGTCGTTGATATGACGCGTTGCCTAACCCTTGGTAGAGTGGCATTTATACATAATCCCTTGAGAGATACACCGAAGATTTTAAAAGTTGATGGCGTGCTAAAAAATCACAAAATATAATTACTCATGTTTCTGTCGGAACCTAATGGAGTCCAAATCAGTGATTTAAATTTTTAGACCAAAACGCATTTCTCCTATGGCTACTGCATATGTCCTTTGACCGATGGGAAGTGTCCCGAATGAAAAAAGGATCCTTGTTGGTCTTTTTATTCAACTTGACCACGATGTTTTTACAAGTAAGCAAGTGGTTTTTCAAAACAACTAGGATAATGTTTGGCTTACGATCCTCTCAAGCCTTCACTTTAGAACTTTACGAAGATACCCAATCCTTCTTTGTGCGATTTTTATTTCTTATCCCAAATAAGGCTATTATAAAAATAGTTAATAATTCCCTCTTTTGTGAGACTGCCTTTTACCTAACAGACCAATTAATCACTAAAGAGGAAGACAGAAATGAACAATTTAAGTAAAAGCTATTTTTGAGTTTATTGTGGGCTAGTAAAAAACCTTTGCAGCAACAAGCGTTCTTTCACGCTTCCAAATCGCTAAAGATACTTAACTACTCGAATTCGGTATTAGTTGGCCAAAGTAAATGGTGTTTAGCTGCGACTGGAAACGGCGACAAGGTCCAAACATTCTGCTATAAAGACTTTAATCCGACTGAAATGTCGCAAACAATTAGGTATTCGACTTGGCTAAGTCATAGGTCTGACGGTTTTGTCGCCTAATCCTTGACTAGTCTGGCATATTTTAGCCTGATTATTCACAAAAAAGTTGGGATAGTTCGTTGATTCGAGGGATGAGCGAGGGATGGGGAAATCGTCGGCGTCGTTCGTTTTCTGCAGGTCAACTAGATTCCGTTCTCTATGTATTGGAGCTTTTGCAGCAATCCTGAGGTCCGTGTTTAATTTCTCCCACACATCTCTTCAACTTTCTGCTGAGCTCAGCTCATTGACTGTTTTGGAACTCCTGGGGGGCTGTTACCAACAAAGAGGCTCGCAACCATCACTATTTCAGCCAAATTAGTGGTGTTAAATTCTGCCAGGCGCAGCAAAACTGAAATCATCTAATGTTTCATAAATATAGGGGTTTAAAACTCTCTTTGGATACCTTAAACACACAGAGACAGCCTGGAGGAACAAATAGTTGAAGGCTATCAGTTGTACAGCCGCTTTCGGCTTATCAAGGCAGTCTAGAAACAAATAATCAGGTTTTCAGACTTCTATTATTCTTTCAGGGATGGCATTTCTTCAGATGACCTTGGTAGATTTCGATGTCATGCATAAATGAGCCCTTACTACGTGGCAGATTTTTGTCAATTTTGGTCAAAGCAGAAAACGCTGTTTATAGTTGCGTTCTTCCTTAATGAACCGTAGACCGTCGGAAGTGTAGATTAAACATTACCAGAATGGAACTTACAAAAGGAACAACCTGCGAATTCGAGTATCAGCACGCCCCCTGGAAAAAGAGTGAACTCGAAGTAAACGGTGATGTCCACGTCAACATTGCAAAAGGAGAAGTCGTCAAGTGCACACTTCCAGTTATTAATCATTGAGATAACGCAGTATCTCAAAATGATATGGAATTAAAAGGTTTTTATGGCTTTGAAATAACTATTACATTAACCACGTGTCTGTTCGCTTGTAAGATCTCCTGACGAAATATACCACATGGTCTACGTGTAGTGGAAAGCTGGATCAGCGTTAGATGATATGGTAAAAATGCTGCGAAATACATGATTTTCTCCACGTAGGAAACGTACGGACTGTAATTTGGAAATTCTAGACCCATTTGCTGCTGCAGATAGGATTCAGAATAATTCGAAAATTGACGGACTTTCCAAAACCGAAAACTAAGCTTTTTATGTATAAAAAAGAAAGATGTAATTTGTTGCCAAATGAGTCTGAAATGTATATTTTGTGCATGTTTTCTGAAAACATGGTTGCATTTATAAGGACATAATAAACTGTTGATAAATCATATTATTTAAATAGTCGAGCGTAATATTTTCAGGCGGCCGGAAAGAGGACTACTCCAAAGCCAGCATATTAGAACTATGCTACGCCACAAAATAACATGAAAAATTCACCAAAGTAATTCTTTTTAACCGTGGTCATATCGCAGAATAATGGTCCACGTTCCACGAGATACGTCACCATTAGACAGCGAAGGGTGAAATACATCGTCATTGCAGAAGTGTAATGGAAATATTTTAGGTGCCTTTACATGTAAAAACAAGGAGAACATTACGGTCTAGATCTGTCAGGGACTAGGTGAGGTGTCATTTGGCCATATTAACTGTTCATAGCTGTAACACGACGTGGTGGAGGTGCGGGGAGGAATTTGTAGTCTCGTTTACTTTCCGAGAAAATTAATGCGCGAACATGGAGTGAATTCTTCGGTGCAGGCCTTTTTAGGCACGGTCTGAAAGTTGATATGTAGTGCTCAACGTGGACCAGGAAAGCCCCAAGGCTTAGCTAGGCGCCTTCTGTGAGCTTGGGGTTCCAGAATGCTACTTTTATCAGCCGGGTGATTATCTGTTGGAAAGTAAAATTGCTTTGGTTTAAAGGGCTCACCCAAATGCATTTTTCCATGAAGAAACTATGATGAGAGGACTTCCAGTGACATGTCCCAAATCAAGTAACATACATCCAAAGTGCAAAGCTGTTTTTAGTTCAGAATGTTTGAATCGCTCTCGAAAATATTCGATGATTCAGATTTTATCAGTAAGTTTGTCCTTTCAGGTATTCAAAGGCGCAAACTTGTTGTCAATTTAAATGCATTTGTAAGAAATTCTTGCTTATTCACTCGTGATTCGCCATGGGTAGCCAAAAAAGCCGAACGTTAAATCGCTGCCCGATTAATGAAGAGACCCCTCTGATATTCGTATGCAAAAACTTGAAAGTTCTCGTTGAATACCTTTCCTAGACAAATAAGACCATATAACCAACATCCGATCCGTCTCCGTTATGATCATTTCAGTAGTTTCCGACGGCTCAGTAGCAGTAAATTCTAGCAACTGTCATAAAGAGCTTAAGCACGCACACAACCCATTTTTGGAGGTCGCATGCTTCACACTTTGTGAGCTGTCTAACAATTTGCACGTTTTCTAGAAAAATTTAAATCATAATATCTCATAATGAAAGCGGCAGTTGGCGACTGGATAAGACCTAGAAACTAAACCATCATTTTTGTCAAATCCACCTGAACAGGTCCCCTTTTTTATCATACAAGTAACGCTGTTTTTATTTTAATGGACCACGGCATCTAAATGTCTAGAAAGCCGGAATTCGAATGTTTGTGTGTGTTTACACAAAAATGACCTTCGCCACTACATGCACAATTTGGTTTATGTAAATAAGCGTCCCCTTTGGCGGTAGAATTTTACGTGATATTCTGAAGATAACCACTGAATTAATCGGCCGATGCGTGAACAAAAAGCCGTCTTAATAAATCTTAGATGACGATGCTTCTCTTCACATGTGGTCTTCTGAGGGCTTCCACTCATTTTTTTCCAATTGGTTTGAAAATTATTGGGAAAATATCATTTTTAAACAGAAGAAATTCGCTAATTTACAAACATCACACCGTATAGATGTAGAAAAGAACTACGCAATAAAAGAATCAGGTCTAAAATCCAAAATTGGCATTTCTACGGTATCCATCAACGAATGTTTAATTGTTTTGACGCGATTCCGCACACTGTGATAAGTAGTCTTCGATAATATTCGTTTGTGTGGATTTCTCGTTTTCGCCTGTAGATGGTTATTTGCCTTACTGTTTTTATATAGCACTAGTTAAAGCATGTTTTGCGAAGGTGATGTCCCCTATGAACGTTTTGTTTCGGTAACTCTGTTGATAATCAAATACCCGTCATTTCTGCTTCTCGTAATATTTGACTCTGAACCTCGGCATCCCAAAAACCTTGACACGGAGTCGTTTATCGGATGTGGTGTAGTTGCGGAAAAAGCAACTACGTCGGAGAAACTGGGAGATTACTCCGCACGCGAATTGCCGAGCACGCAGCAGCAGTGAGACGGAGAGACGCTAACGCTCAGGTGGCGGCACACTCCACGGGACCCGGTCATATTTTCAGATTTCAAGAGGCCGAAATCCTCGCAAGGGGTGACAACCGCGTGAGCTGCGATCTTCTCGAGTCATGGTTCTCAGGCCCGCAATCCATAAACAAGCACAATGGCCTCTCGGTACCATATTTCGTGCTCAGATTTTCCGTGGGCAAGGGAATCAGTCCCGCGGGCAGGGCGCAGACGGGCAATTATCCCAGT